CCCCTCGGTAGAGGATGAGGAGGCTCAGGAAATGCACCAGGAACTGCAGCAGCACCGTCAGCACCGTGTACAGGTTGAAGATGTTGGGAAGGGGCCTCTCCTTGGAAAGGGTCTTCAAAGGCTGGGAATTCCATGTGGGAATAAAGAGAAAAAAAACAGGGAATGATTTGGGAATAAAAGCAGGGAAGGACTCGGGAAGGTTCTCCCAAAATTGGGAATTTTATCGGGGGAAAAAGGGGATTTTCCAAGGGGTTGGGAAAAACCCCCTGGAAGGGTTCAGGGAAGAGGGGGAATTCCAGGGAATTCCCAGCTGGAAGTGGGGAATTGGAGGTGGTTGGTTTGTTTTTTTTCCCAAATCCAAGGGGATAACAATTCCCAGCCATCCCGGGATGAGGGATTGGGAATTTACCACCACAAAAAAAATGGGATTTTGGGGGGCAAAAAGGCACTTTTTGACTCATCCTGGTGGGAAAAACCGACATTCCACGGAATTCTCTGCCCCCACCTTGGACCAGGAATATCTGGGAGCATCCCAAATCCAGGGGAAGACACAAGGAGTGGGAATTTACCACAAAAAATGGGATTTTTGGGGGCAGAAAGGCCCTTTTTGGGATGGGGGTGGATGGGAAATGAGACAGGGCCGGCCCAATCGACATTCCCACGGAATTTTCCTCCCTCACCTTGGACCTGGAGACGACCAGGAATATCTGGGAGCATCCCAAATCCAGGGGAACACACAAACCAGCACCAGGGACTGGGAATTCACCACAAAAAATGGGATTTTTGGGGCCAGAAAGGCACTTTTTGGGAGAGGGACGGATGGGAAACGAGACAGGGCCGGCCCAATCGACATTCCCACGGAATTCCCATGGATCTGGAGATGAAGAGGAAGCTCTGGGAGCATCCCAAATCCAGGGGAAGACACAAGGAGTGGGAATTCACCACAAAAAATGGGATTTTTGGGGGCAGAAAGGCCCTTTTTGGGAGAGGGACGGATGGGAAACGAGACAGGGCCGGCCCAATCGACATTCCCGCGGAATTTTCTTCCCTCACCTTGGATCTGGAGATGAAAAGGAATATTTGGGAGCATCCCAACACTCAATCCAGCAAGAGGGACTGGGAATTCACCACCAAAAATGGGATTTTTGGGGGGCAAAAAGGCACTTTTTGGGAGAGGGACGGATGGGAAACGAGACAGGGCCGGCCCAATCGACATTCCCGCGGAATTTTCCTCCCTCACCTTGGACCTGGAGATGAAGAGGAAGCATCCAGCCAGGAGCAGCCCCTGCAGGGTGGCCTGGAAGTCGCTGAACTTGACCCCCTCGAGGTAGAGGACGCTCTGGCTGTAGGCCAAGATGAGGGCGTTGAGGGCCAGGATCTTGAACATCTGCAGCGTCGTCACCAGAGTGCAGCGGCCCTGCTTGATCACGTGGCAGACTGAGGGCAAAATCAGAGAAAAAATGGGAATAGAGGTGAGGAAATGGGAATAAAGGGGAGGGAAAGGGGAATAAAGGGGAGGGAAAGGGGGTTTGGGGCTGAGGGAGCCAACGGC